CAGTGGTGGCTGAAACCAGTAACATTGATTATCAGGGTACCTTGCAAGGCAGCCACTAATTATTTGTTGTAATCTCCCAGGGAGGAAATTACTAATATTATTACTTAAGACATCCTTTGCAGTTTGCACATACAGGGTGCTTAAAAATTCATTTTTGACCATGAAAAACTGACCATTTGTTCTACTCTTAGCAGGAAGCAAGTAAACAGCCCCAAGAGTGCCTGTGTCCATGCTCTGACACAGTCAGGGGCCTCCAGCTCAAAGCTCTGTGGCAGCCTCATAGGCCATGTTGCTTTTAATTCCAGCTGAATCATAGAATGATTATGTGTGAGGCATTTTTAACGTATTATTGTGATCTCCAGAGATTGAAGTTAGTATATAACAAATTAATTCAATTACAAAACTGAACCCACTTCTCCCCACCAAAAAAACCCAAAAACAATCTTTTAATTTAGTGGGGTTTTGCTTGGAAAGCGTGTACAACAAGCAGACTGGAAAATGTTCAGTGTGCTGTGGGAATTGTAGGGGGAAAAGCCATCTGGCATAAGTTAGTTGCCTGTATTTGGAGGAAGGATTGTTACACAATCTTTTTGGCCAGTGGTCTACTCCTCAGCGTGTGGCCCCCAGGAAGGAGAGTATTTCTATAGTGTTATGTTGAGAGATTGTGGTTAATATTTAACCTAAATTTGTAATCAGAATGTAGTATTTACACTATGATAGATAACTAGATAATTGATAGGTAGGTAGGCGATAGATAGATAGATAGATAGATAGATAGATAGATAGATAGATAATAGATAGATAATAGATAGATATGGGACTCTCTCCTAACAGGGAACATTGGAGAGGGACCAAGGTTTCAACAAAGTTGTGAAGATTTGCTGCAGATAACCTTCACCTTAAAATTGGACAGGAGGGAATGTTAGTGAGGACGATATTGGTGCTAATAGTAATGACAATAACTAACATTTATCCAGGCCTTGCTTATGCTTTGTACTGTGCTAAGTCTTTTGCATGTGTCATCTCACGTAATCCTTACAACAATCTCCTTGTTCTTGTGCATATGGAGAAATTGTAATGGGGCGAGATGGAGTACCTGCTAAAGTTTATGCAGCTAGTAGGTGCTGGAAGCGGGGGAAAAAAGGCAAGCATTACTTCAGAGCCTTGTTCTTTACTTTGTACATCTGACAATCCCAGGAGACCTTATACTCCCCTATCCGACCTCCCTTGGCCCTTTCTCCCAGGGTCCCCCAACACACACACACGCACACACACATCGCATGACTGAACCCTCCCCACAGCTACTAGTGTCTGGAATGGACTTCTTCGGAAGTGTTTTTTCCTCATTCCCAGAATTGTGCAAGCATGAGGTAGATCAGTTATTTTCAACTATTCTTTTCAACATGACCACAGCACAGTTGATGAGGTGTTTTAAACTAATTCAGATTGCTACGTGGTCTGTTTGAAATAATTACAACTGCTGTTTGTCCAAATGTGGCCACTGGGGTGGTACACAAAGAAATTCTTTTGCAGAGGCAAACAACACTGATAAAAGGAAACTGCCCTGATCAGCCCTCTGTGCTCCAACACCACCATCATGGCACGTCCACAGTTGAGCACCCATGGGCCAGATCAGTGGCTCGTAAACTTTTTGATTATACACCTCTACTACTTAGAAAGGTTCTAACTTCGCTCCCAAGATATGTATATACCTTGATATACAAACGATATAACAATCATAACCATTATTAAATGCTTACAATAGGCCAGGCTCTGTCCTAAGAACTTTGTGTTGACTTACATCACTTCATAGCAGCTCTGTGAAGTAGGTATTATTATGATTAACACCATTTAAAGATAAAGAAATTGAGACATTAAATATTAAATAATTTGCCCTGGGCCACATTAGTCGAATGACAGAACCAAGCTTGAAACCAGGTGGTCTGACTCAAGTCTGTGCTCTAACTGTGTTACCCTACTAATACATACTTTTAAAATGGAAATTTTAAAAGAATGAGCTACACATTGGTAATAATTGACTGAACAAATGAATAAAATATTTCTCTGGGATGAGCAATGTAGGGATTCCAAGCACCCTGACAAGCCAATAGAAGAAAAACCAGAGGACAAGGAGACTTTTCTTAGTCACATTGAATTATCAACCTCTGAAAATCTACTGCGTGCTTCCTACCGAATGTGCAGCGTGATGTTCAATAAACAGACTAATTGTACAATTTACAATAGAAGCTATGCAAGTCCAAAATAACCCTCCCTTTGGCTCAGTTAATCATTTGTCTTCCAGACAAACTTCTACTCACTTTGTTGCTGGCTTTATAGTCCTTTTAAGTCCTGTAGGTCTTGCCAAGCAATAGGAAACACTTGAACACACACACAGTGTGCTTGATTTGGTGTTTTAAACTGAAATTGCTGTTTGAAACAATTATGACTGTTGTTTGTCCAAATGTAGCCACTGATGTGGTCAACGCCTGGTCAACAATTTCTGTCAAGGAGGTTTTTGGGGGCTGCAATTGGTGGGAAGGGGGCCCTGGAAGCTGTGGAGCTTTTTGAGAACTGACATGACCTTTGCACGGCACTTTTCATAAGACTGAGAGCAATAACCAGTTTTCTGCCTTAAAACCTGGAGGAGCTGATAGAGATCAAACCACCCCTTGACAACTGAGTATGATTGACATTCTGAATACTGTGACTATTGATGAGATCATAGAAAAGAATTTTTATTTTCAACGTGTATTAGTATGGCATATTTCAGATTTGCCATAATCGGAGCTGCTGTTAAGCCCATTACCAATGCTTATTTTTAACTTACACAACCTGGAAATTTAGAGTCTTCTGTTGTCCAAAGTGTCACTCTGCAAATATGGATCTCTTTTAAGACCAGGAGTCCATAGATGTGGCCTCATTTACGTAAGATGAGCAGGAGACAACGTAATTTATGAGCTGAAGTAACAAAAGGATGCTGGGTTGGGTTTTGTTAAACTAATCTTATGGCTGGCAAGGATGACATGTCAGATGTTTCCTTCATGTCAAATACCAAACCATGTTCATAAATCATTTTTATAATGTTAAATACATTACATAGATGCAATACCAGTAGAGGATGTGCTTAAATGTGCCAGACACGTTCGTTTGCTTCACTACATACCGTGTTTCTCATTTCATTTCCCAAAGATGTACTTAGCAGATGATTTTGTATGGGCAGATCCATATTTTAGTTTTATTCATGCAGTCTTGTTTGCTGGTGCTATTATGCTTATTGGATCCTTTCTCGTGCATACAAAATCAACCCATGTGACTATCATCACAGTGCCTCTCCCTTCTTGCACCAAAAGCAAAAGGAATTTCCTTTTTAAATACATCTGTCATTGAGAAATACGTTTGTCAGTGAGGGGGGAAAAAATAGACAGGATACTTTGGGGGCTATTGAGCACAAAACTTCATCTGAAACAGCTCCACTGTATAAGATAATGTGTTCTAGTTCAGAATATTTAAGGCTGAGTTTCTTTACTGTGTGAATGCTGTACTATTTTCTTTTCTCCCCTAACTCCCCCACCCTGTTTAACAGCAGACAAACCCAGGGAGCCCTGAATGAATCCGATGATCCTGAAACAGGCTGTCTATCTGATAACAAGCCAACTTCTCGACACTTCTATCCTGTCGCCTTGCTACTTGTCAGCTCACACCTGCTAGTTGTGTGGCTCATTTTAAGTCTTGCATTACTATTAGCCAAATACCAATAAGATTTATGTGTGTTCCTTTCTTTTCTACAAATGACAATGGACTTTAAATCACGGGGACAATGCTGTAATATTTCTACATTTTAAGAGTCACAGAATTTAAAACAAATGTTCGAATTGTGTTTCCTTTGTTTTTCCTAAAATCTACGAAAAGAAGTACTATGCATTAAGTGAATTATTTTGATCTTTTGTTTATGGAAAAGTGTGTCCCACTGTCAACTAGCTCAAGAAGAATCTTTAAATTAATGTCTTTGGCATAAGACAAAGAACAGAATCCTGAAAGCTTGACATTCTGCACCTCCTGTTCCTCTTCCCATTAAATTTATTAAAGAAACTAAGACTGAATTTGCACAACACGCTGAAACCCTGAGACAAGTCCTAGAGATGTGGGAGGTTCCAGACTTTATTTCCACTGTGCTAATATCATTGTTGCCATCTGCTGACAGAACCTGCTGTTTGATTTCTTAACCTGTTAGTTTTGTTATTTCTTTGCTGCAATTAACCCCTTTCTGTCAAGTAACTTTATGGAGAGAATGGCTATTTATGTTTTGTAATTAAATTAACCTGTTTGTAATATTGTTTGGGTTGATTTGGCTTTCAGAGTACTTTTCTATTCTTTTTAACACGGTTTTGTTTGTGTCTTGATGCCCCCTGTTCAGCCCCTGTGACTTTTGTATACTGTCTGTACACAAGCACCCTTCCTTTATAAAGCGGAGACTTGGACCAGGCTGTTCTGAAAGCCATTTTTTCTCTTCATTGCACAGCTAAAATAATGAAGTCAAATAGAGATTGAACTTTCCTTTAAAAAATCTATAGGGCCAGACTTAATAAATTAAATGCCTTATTCCTAGAACCTGTATCCTTAGGGCTACATATAGATTTTAGTGTGTTTTAAAGAGACTTAAGAAATTAATTTGTGGAAAAGTTATTAAAAAGGCAGATATATTTATGAAATTAAAGTGAAGCTGTATTGTGGAGCAAATTATATTTAAAGAGTTTATTAAACCTTAAATGTCTGTTGAGAGCAAAGAGGCTTGAAGCGTCTCTTTCCGAGGGCAATAATGGTATTGGGCCTGGCCTAGGATTTAATTTTGTAAGATGTATCATCATTTGTGGGGAAAAAAAATGTAGAGTTGAATCTTTGTTATTTTTACTTGGACTGTTGCTGCAACTCTGCATTGAACAAATAAAGCATATTTATTTATCCTGTGTTTCATGAAGTTGTACTTTTTCCCCTTTTACCAGAGAAGGATGCCGCATAGAGAATGTACTGAAGAATATCAAATGCAGAAAGTATGCTTTCAACGTGCTACAGCTGATGGCTTTCCCCAAGTACTACAGGCCTCCAGAGGGGACTTATGGAAAAGCTGACACCTAAGCTTACCAACATGTAAATAAACAGGAACACACATTCGCTTCAGTGGGATAATCTCTACCTTTTTCATTTTTTTTTTATTATTGTGAATTTGTGGAGGGAGGTGATCAAGGATGTTTGCCCAAATCTAGGAATTACTTGAATCAGTGATGAGCATATTACTCTGAAAGAAATCCATTAAAAAAAAAACTCTTATGTACTATGGCCCTTCCTAGTCCTAAATTTCTAAGTGTTGACTCTCGCTGGTTGAGATCAGCTTGGAAAGTGTAACTTTCATTCATGGAGTATTTTAGTGAAAGATATTCTGAGAAAACATCGGTGCCACAGAGGACTTGAGGTGAGTCAGAGTGGCGCTCTCCCTCCACAGTGGAGAGAGGGGGAGAGGGTCCTTGTGATATTATTTCATAGCCTTTCTCACACATAATCTTGGAGTCCCTTTTTGAGATTAAAACATATATTTTTCTAGTGAACTGAAATTAGGTAGCAGTAACTCATGATCTTGACTACAGCACAGTTTACAGGTACGCCCGTCAAGATTTTTTTCCTCCGGCTGAGATGTGACTTCCTCCTCCTAAACAGGTAGCTGAACAGTGTTAGTAAAGCCGTAAAAATACTTTTCAAAAACACGGCATCCTTTCAACATTCTGATGACTTGGGTTGCATGGCCCAGTTGTAGAAGTGGCAGCAGAGAAAGTTTGTTAGTGTAATAAGCAAAGCACTGCAAGGAACTCAACCTGCAAGGAAACTAAAAAGAATCAGCCTGTTGATGTCCAAAATGAATTCCCCATCAGCCTGAACTGTATGTAGTCAAGTTCATGAAAGTCCATAAGATATCTTTGAGATGTTTTCTAGCCATCATCTTGGTATAGACTATAGATGGTGTAAGTATGCATTGTCTGGCATAGATTAGTATGTGTGAATAAACCTTTGAAAACATATGCAACCATAGCTAATGGTAAACCAAAACAATTATTTCTGTTAACCTGAATGTCCAGTTTGTCCTTACATAGTAAAATAACACCATAAATTTTCCCAAATCCCAAATTAAGAGTTGCCTTAGAGATCATCTTGTATGCCACCATTGTAAGTGGGGAAAATACAGCACAGGGAAGATATGCCCCTAAACACCCAGCTACAGCATTTTAAAGCCATGATTACGATCTCTTCTTACCTTTCTACATTTGTTTCTTCTCCAAATTCCTATGCCAAATAAAAATGAATATTAGGGGAGAATGCTAATTAGTTATATAGAAATTGACATTTATTACTGGAATTAAAGCTTAGATTACAGATGAAACCTATTTTCTCCAAATTTTAAGGATTTATTCTTTTTTCCTTTCTCCTTAGAGGAGCATGCCACCCAAAGCATAAATCTCCCTTGGAAATGCCAGAGGCTTGTGATATAGACATCTCTTAGCGATGACCGTATTTAATGGGTGACCTCATGAGGCGTTTTTCATAGCTAATGTGATAGCTCCTTCACTAAGATGCCTGTTGAGATAAGGATTCCACACAGATCATGGTGGGTTTTTCAAGTTACTAGAAATTTTAGATAACCCTCTGGGGTTTTTAATACTAGAATTATCAATCTATTATTTTAGTGAATGGCTGTGCGCATTATATTTGAGGCAGTTGCCAAACTACCTATGGCCTTTTTAATAAAAAGAGGCTGTGTGCTATGCCTCTTTATGGATAAAGTTATCTTGGTATTCTCTCTTATACCTCATTCTCCATTTCAGGGATTAAATATAATCTTTGAATTGTTCAATTACATTCGAAAATGGTAAGATTGGTGGTTATTTTCATTATCCCACTGGATTTACGGTAAAGAGGTTGGGATGATGACAGAGGTTTCCTTGAATAACCATGAAGCCTCCTTCAGTATATCAAATGGTAATCTGAGTTCCCAGAGACTTTTGAGTGATTTATCATCCTGTAAATAATCTTATAAACAAGAATTTTTGGTAGCATTTGTAAAAATGAAACCTCTTGACTCATACATGGAAAAATATTTATTAACTAAAAAGCCAACAATAGGGCTTTTTAATTTGGGGAATACATTTCAAGGATTTTTTTTATTTTATTTTATAATAACTACTAAGTTGATGTTTCAAAGGGTAGGACTTACTATACTACAATTGAAGTTTTTTGTTTATTATTAACATAGTCATCTGCATTTCCCTGTAGGAAGCCTGTATTTATGCATATATTTAAAAGTGGATTTTATCAAGGAAATTCATGTTTTATACAGACAACATTTCCCCTTTCCTGAGAGATAATCAATGTATCCTTGGAAAATTACTTTACTATTTCTGAAGTTATTAAGGCTTTCTAAATCAAAGCGCCAAAGTTAAACAGTACGTTTTGAAGTCTCCTTTGTACAGACACAGCTTGTAATGTTTTTTTATCTATATTCTCGTTTGGAAGACACATCAGCAGGCCTATTTTAGGAGATCATGTCAAGCCAGAAAGTGAACCAAGAAAATGACATTTCCAAACAGGATCATTTTTTTTGGCTCAAAAATGTCTCCCCTCTCTTGTCATCAAATGTAGATATCAATTCTGTATTTGCTATTTACAACCTTACAGAAAGCATATTTAAAAATAAGGGAAGGTGGAATCTAGATTATGTGTGACCCAGTGACAAAAGAACCAGTGCCTGGGAGTGCTCCCCAGAGCAGCTGAACATAAACATTTGAAATATTTGATTGAAATAACCCCACCTCTAACAGAAAACCATTCATTTCTTTCTCATGTGATTGACTTTTTCTTGTAAATATTGCCTTGAGTTTGTCTACAGTCTGCCAGGACAGTCCTGTGATGTGAATAGTTTGGTCAATCCAATAAGCTGGTGAATCAGAGCAACCATTTGACCCAGCTGACAAACTGCACTAAAATGACCAACTGCCCAGTTGGAGCAGTTTGGTCCACCTTGGACCTACTACCCTCCAGTCCGTACTCATAAGACCAACACCTTTTCTTCTGAAAACTGTAAAGTCTTAAAAGCTAGCCTCTCATCCGCATGGAGGAAACTCCCCTTTTTTCCCCTCAACTAAATAAGGCATTTGACGTACAGTAAGAATCCAGATGGAAAAGAAAAACGTTTGTTATAGAGGACTACTTTTCTTCCCAAGCACAACAAGCCCCTCCCTATGTAAAGTTTGATAGATGCCAAGAAGAGGTGGTACCTGGGGTGTGCTGGAACTGACTGGAGCTGATTCATGATAGTCGATCAGCAAATTATCAGGAATTGTATAAGCCACTTGCTAAACACAGCCATTATTAAATGTTCAAATACAATTGAACACATTTTATTAAAAGCAGAGGTAATAATCATAACTACACACCCTAATTATTTTACTACATTTCACAGTACACCTCTGTTCTTGAGGTCATTTATGTCCGTTGTATCTGCACACCGTGTTATAGCATCCCTGCACATACCCCCCGCTCCACGTTGGCCACTGGAAATTGAACACTGCTACCAACCAGAGCCTTTAATTCCTGGACATCCAGTTGTTCAATCCTCCTTGGCACACAATTGAATGCCACCACCACTTTTTTTTCAGAAAATCACTGGAAGCAGTATACAGTTATTAAAATGATATTAAATGCAATCACTCATCTTCAAATGGCTGCAATGTTGTAGTTTTTACCCTCTTTAAAGACTCTGATTGGGCTATAAGTAACATTTGATGTTCATATTTTATTCATAATTAAATTGTTTAATCATAGAGATGCATTTCCAAACGCATCTCTCTATGATGTTTGGCAAGGGAAATCTTGGCAGTGCAACTTCAGTGTAAGCAATAACAACTCCAGGCTAAATTCAGGGACATGTTAGTGTAATTAGAGTATCACTGAAAATGTGCTTCAGTATCAGTTTTTTAATTTATAATTTTAGCATTTGCTAATCGCAAAAAACAAAGCAAAAAAAAATTAACATATTACTGTACCCAGTTTCTAATAAATATAGCTCCACTGAAACCCAAACTGTTAGGTTAAACAAATTAAACTCTGGCAAGTATGCTAAATCACCACGGATGTTTTAGGCGTTTGATTTCCAAACAGGATGGCATATCAATTGTTTAGTTCAATAGACAGGGTTCGTTTTGTAATTGTGTAGGAAATAAATTAACTTTCATCACACATTTAAGAAACTGGTCTGAGAAAAACTGTGATCAGCAGTTACGGAGGGAAGCAAACATATTGAACACAAGTTGTTCTTCAGAGCCTGAGGCTTTACAAATGAAGCACTCCTGGAGAGAATGATTTGCTGAGAGCTGTGTCATTGACTGACAATCTTGGTGTGAATTCACCTTCCGTTAGCCAAGCTGCAAACCGCAAAGGCTACGCTTTTTGTCTCGTGTTTACATTTCATTGCTTTAGAAAGGCAGTCCCCCTGTGTTATACCTTTTATTTCTCTGGCAGTTTTAAACGAGAACTTTCTCACCAAACAGCTGCTGCCTGTAGCAAAAGCTGCCTTTCAGAACAGGAAAATAAAATTGGTTTAGATCAAATATTGCAAACCAGTTAGGTACAGAGTTAAGGTATGGAAATTTGGATTTTTTTCTTTTTGAGTCATAGTGCACGTGAGCCACGCTTTGAGTTTTATTTCTGAGAAAGTAAAAGAGAGCCTGAAGCATCTCTGATGTCAAAGAAACAAACCGTATCTGGTTATTAGTAACAAGGAGGCAGGAAAAAAATGTGAGGTAATAACAAAAAGCAGTGTACACGCAATCACCCCTCCTGACCTTGAATTTTTATAGATTACATGAATATTTAGAATTTTAAATTATAGAAGCAAAACAAGGCTCACAATTCAGGGTAGTACCCAGAGAGAGTGAATAACAAGGGAGAGAAGACCGAATACAAGTGACATTCCCTGATAAACCATTTCTGGCTTATCTTTTAGTAAAAAGTTATTTAAGAAGATGTTGCATTTTCACACACATAGTCTGAATACATTCATAGCCTTCTTAAAATCATCCCAATTATTTCAAAGGGCACACAATCCAACCGTACATTTTTAATGATGTGGTTTTGTTAACTGGCAAACAATATTCACTCAACTATTATTGGCAAGATCTCTATAGTAACTATATAGTTTTGTGCTGCTTTTTTATCACTATCAATATTAAGAAATATTTCCCATCAAACAACGTTCATACTTTTAAAAGGCAGATTCCATGTATCTATAACACTGTATAGACACCCGTTTCACTGTACTTGTGTAATCCTTTGCACACAAAAAAACTTCTCATGTGACTACTTTATTATTTTATTTAACCTAACATCTAATTTTCAGATTCTTGTGGTACTTATCTGAAGTGTTGCCATTTGTTTTTTATATTAAATATATATTCTAGATGAACTAATGTGTATTCCTAGGAAATGAGTCATGAATAGGTTAGATCATTTTATGTTGGCATGGAAATACCATTTTGTTTTATTGTTCTGTGGAAACCATATTCATTGTACACTGTGTGTATATTTTTGTTTAAATAAATGTGATTTTTATTTTTTATGTTTCTGTCTTTTTCTCCCTATTATACATTTTCCCATTTTCATCAGTGTAGCGATGTCCAAAAATTCATGAAAATATTAGAAGATGAGACCAAACAATATTTCAAAGAGAGTAAACTAATTTTTATGCTGGACCACAATGACAGTGCAAATTTTACATGATTACAATTTTAGTCTCATAGTCACTAGCAGAATGCACCTTCAGGGTGGCTGTTCTGCGCGAGCCATATCAACCACAATTTTTTAAAAAGTTCAAGAGCCAGATACCAAAGCTTCAACACTGGGCAAAATACCAATCTTGTGATGAAGAAGATATGTCGAGTCATCTGAGCATAGGCGATAACTTTTCCGTATAGCTATTTGGATCTGATCATTTATAATTTATTTTAACAGTTGATAGTGGAAGGCAAATCCCAGAGGGTTCTAATTAGATCTTGTTGCAAAGGCATTAACCAAATGAAGCCCCTGCTTTCATGTAAAGAAAGAATCAAGTTTGGCCACCTCGAGAATTTCATGAACACATCTGACCCTGCAGCAGGAAACAGTTCCCTTCTGTGATATCATCATCAGTAACTGTTTGTGCTAACGTGTCTTTCTACACCTGAGCAGGAAAAGTGCTGCAGGTAGCCCCGTGGTGAAACAGTGCACGGTGAATTACAGAGAAATGCTGCCTGCCGTAAAACCAGCAGACAGGCCTTTCGGAAGTGGTAGGACTCTGTCATCTTAAATATCCATGCAGAGGTCCCGTGAGTGTTGTAAGGGGGTGACACTCCCACTCCAAGTCAGCGTAAGGGACTCAGAACATTAGCTCCAGGGCTATATTTTGGTATCTCCAGAGAACAGAAGCAGGAGGGTGGGTTGATGTAGTTGGAGCATGTCAAGCCACACCCATTCTAAGCCACAGTCGCCCCTCGGACAGGATTCTGTGGCTCCTTATAACCACAAGCGCTGAGTTTGTTCTCTCGGCATTCCTGATGAACAAGGTTGACTCGGGAACAATTTTTTAAATGTTAAGTGCAAAGTGGAGGGGAGGGCAGAAGCACATTTGGGTAGAATACTAGGATTTGGTACTCAACCATTAAAAGCTACCTCCTGTCTGCTACTGCACATGACTTTGTCGTGATAGCCCTAAGTTTCGGAATTGAATAACAGCCATGACGATAACGATCAACTTTTTGCTTAGTATCATGGCTTCTCAGTTTTTAAACCAATTGGCCATAAACCTCTTGGTGACACTTCTCTTCCTTTGATTTTGATGGTGCTGCTTTCCATCAGCCTGATTCCTTTATAAACACTGTTGAGTCTCAACCTACAACTTCTGCTTCCTCGGCCTGCTTCTTACATTCAGGAATGGCTTAAAAGCCTAGACTCAGCATTCTTCCTTTCTCATTCGATATGTTCTCTTTCGAGGTATTTAATCATTGTTACTAAGAAGAAGACTCCACTACCGGTGTAAGGAATGTGGACTTCTGTGTCAGAAAACCTAGATTCAAATCGTGGTTGCCCCACTTGAGTAGATGCAGGCGTATGTCAAGTTACCTAATGTTTCACTGTCACATTCTTATCTGTATAATGAGGGTAGTAATATGACAGTGTTTCTTGAGGAAAAATAAATGAAAATTTGTATGTCTAGCCCTGTATCTAATGCCCATTGTGCTGCACTTGTTTGGTGGCAACCAGCATCCATTCCCACCATGATTTAGTACCCTGAAGTCCTCCTCCCACCTGGCACAAAAGGGCTGGAAGACTAAAAATGATGTTTGCTCAGCACACTTGCCATAAGAGTTCAGGATCATATAGGTTCTGCCAACGAGACCCACCTCTGCCATATTTAGAAGGACGACAGCAAGGACTGGGAGGTGTCCACCCCTTCTGCACCAGTGTGGGCCGACAGGCGTATTGCAGGAGCATATGCGGCAGGTGGACTCCCATATCCATTGTCAATTCCCCAGCTTGCTAGGGGGTGGCTGTGACTTGATCAGTGGTGGAAGCCACAGCAGCAGCATTTTTCTAACTTTGGGCGGCACCTACTCTGACAACTGAGGCAGAGGTGCTTGAAACCCGAGCCCGACAAGGGCCCACTTCTGCCATGAAATTCCTCCAGTCTTTACAATGATTGTATAGCCATCTCATTTCTCATATTATTTGTACTAAAGTGTTTTCTGCTAGAAATAACAGGACTAGATTCTATTTCCTGCACAGAACCCTGACTGATGCCCTCAGCTTATAGGATAGCCTAGATAAATTTCTTTTTGGTAATCATTGCTGACGAACTTATTTATCTTTGATATTTCAGTTGGGTTTCAGTGTCACCTTCCCAGGTATCTACTGGCTATTTTTTAATTTATATGTTTTAGAATATTCATACTTTCATTGCCTTCCTTCCAATTCACACGCAGCCCTCCTAAGTTTCCTGTCTCTGTTAATGGAACCCACATCCTAGTTACATAGGTTTACCAGCTTGAATCAGCTTTAACTCTTCCATCTCTATTGACATAATATTTCATGTGTCACTAGGCCTGGAAATGTTACTTTACCTCATATCTGTTACTTCCCCCCTTTCATTGCCACAGCTATGTCTTTCATACGCATCCTTTATTACCCTGGTAACTAAAAATCCAACTAAATAAAGATTGGTATGCAATCACATCCACAATTTGGCCTTCCCTTTTTGTCAAGGTGTACTTCCCATCTCCTGCAACTCTATCCTCCACACATATCCACACGAGGAGCCTACATACACAGAGCATGTCCCTTACACACACACACACACACACACACACACACACACACAAAACAAACAAACAAACAAAACTAGTAAATACTAGCTAATCTATAGTGATACATGCAGAACAGTACTTGCCTGGGAGTTTGGGAAGGGAGAAATGGATTATAAAAGGGCACTAGAAAACTTTTGGGGTCAATGAATTGCCTTGATTATGCTGATGGCTTAGTGATATAGATAGGTAAATAGAGATGATAGATGATCGATAGATAGATAGATAGATATGACTGATGATGAAGAGATAGATGATAGATAATAGATATAGATAGATGGATAATATATAGATGATATTCACCAAATTGTACACTTCAAGTGCTATTTATTGTATGAAATTTATACTCAATAATAATGTTTTAAAGTGAAAGAAAAAATAACACCAATCTTACAAAAATTTTTGCAAAGTATATAAAAATGTAGAACAATTTCCAATGTGTTTTATGACACCAGCATAATCTTGATTACAATACTTGGTAAAAAATTACAAGGAAGGAAAATCGCTGGTCAATGATCCTTATTAACATAAATATAAATATCTACATAAAATATTAACAACTGAATCTATTAGATATAAAAAGTTATGTATCACAAACAAGTTAAGTTTATTCCAGGAATGCACAGCTGGCATAACAGTCAGGTTTCAATAAGTATCATGAACTAGCTACGTGTAGAGAATAAAAGACTAAAATCATTTGATTTTTCTCAAAAGATGCCCCAAAAAAAGTGAAGGATAAATTTTATAAACTAAAAGTAGAAAGGAGCTACTTTTACCTATAAAGAGGTATCTTGAAAATTTATAGCACAACGAAGGGAAAAGTATTCATATCAGTCACCTGGAAATGTTCTAATCAGTACTTTAAATGTATGTGTAAGAATTGTAAATGATGAAATGAAACTCATTATACACAGGCAACATGATTTGTAATGTGAACATTTTAAATTAGAGATAAAATATTACAATTAATAAATAAATTTAACTAGTCATTAAATTTAAGAGAAGCATAGAGAAAGTAATTCTATTTCCATATACTAGTAGGTAGAAAATTAGAAAACGCAACTTTTCAAAATACACAATTTTTAATTGCATAAAATATCAAATGCAATAGAATCGATTTATCAAAAAATGCACTACCCAATGCAGAAAATTATACAGCATTAATTCAAGCATATTTAAATAAATGGAGGACATATCATTATTATGGATAATAAGACACAGTATGGTAAAGTGCCACTTCTTCTCAAATCAATCTATAGATTCAAAGCAATCCCAAGCAAAATTCTAGAAGGTTATTTTGGTGAAAATTGACAAGTTGGTTCTAAAATTTATATGGAATGCAAAGAGTACCAAGAAATCAAGGCAAACTTGAATAAGGTGAACAATACAAGGAGCCAAGATTATTTAGATAAATTCTTTATTCCAAGATGAGGTTAGAGAAAATAAAAGATGCATCTAGATCATCTTGAGATGTTAGGAGGTAAAGACAATATAAATAGAAGAAAAAATAAAACAAGAAAAAAATCAAAATGAAATAAAGGGAACATGTCAAAAGAATAAAGGTCCAACTTGAAAGAGTCGTCAATGTCCGCAGTTGGAACAATTAGTGCCACAAAATAAATAATGATAGCATTAAATTATTAACCAAAGAATACAATAAGCACCTGCAATAAAAATGAATGATCACATAAATAAATAAATGAGAGAGAAGAGACAATTTACCCTTACAGGGAATTCCAGTTAGTGAATGTAGAAAGAATGAGAGTAGAAAATCACCATTATTAAAATTACTCCAAAGGTCACTAGTAATAAAATATACTGATATCATGTACCCTCTGTTATAATGTAATAAGATGATCACATCACCTCTTTGGCATTTCTCCAAATCTGTAAGCTCAGTCTAATAATGAAAAACCATCAAGCAGATCCAAATTGAGGGATAATCACAAAATACCTAACCAGTACTTTTCAAAATTGCCGAGGTCATAAGTTATAAAGAAATACTGAGGAACTGTGACAGATTGGAGGAGGCAAAGAAGCCATGACAACTAAATGCAATGTGGGACCCTGGATTGGGCCTTGAAACAGAAAAAGAACATTAGTGGAAAATCTGTGAAATCTCAATAAAGTCTCTAGTTAATGGTATTGTACCAGTGGATACGTAAGATGTCGATATTTGGAGAAGCCAGGGTAAGATGTACAGGAACTCCCTGTACTATCTTTA